ATTGATAAATAAATATTGCTTTTCATTATTTAGTGTTTTGACTCTTTCCACACAGACACTTTGCAAAAACTGCAAAATAGGATTATTCCTATCTCTTGTTTGGCAGTATGGGCATGATATTATATTGATTAAATCTTTATCAAGATTGAAATGCAAAATAATAGCAGACACCATTGCACTAATCAACCAGAAGTTCCCAGAAGACATCGCAGCTCTGTTTCACCATTGCCTCACTATCAGCTACTTTCAGTGGGACAATGAATTCTACGAACAAAAAGATGGAGTAGCTGTGGGAAGCCCTCTCATAGCTATCTTTTACATGGAACACTTTGAAAAACAAGCCCTGAAAACAGCAACAAAAAAGCCCACTATATGGTTCAGATATGTGGATGACACTTTCACAATTTGGAGCCATGGAGAAGAAGAACTAAAAAAGTTCCTGGACCATCTTAACAGCATCCACCCAAACATCCAATTCACCATGGAAAAAGAAAATGAAGGAAGACTGCCTTTTCTAGATGTCCTAGTCATCCGTAAACCAGATCAACAATTGGGTAACACCATTTACAGAAAACCCACACACGCAGATAGATATCTAAATAAAAACTCCAACCATCACCCAAGTCAAAAAAGAAGCACAATTAAAGCCTTGGCAGACAGTGCAAAAAGAATCTGCGAACCCCACCTCCTCCAAGATGAACTGAACCACTTCAACTGGGCTCTACAGGCCAATGGATATTCCACCTCAGACATCAGAAGAGCTGCAAGACCGCGAACAAGCCATGAGTGTAAAGACAAAGATCCACCCAGAGGAAAAGTGTTCTTGCCATACATCAAGGGAACCACTGACCGCATAGGGAAGCTGATGAGGAAACACAACATACAAACCATCTACAGACCCACCAAGAAAATCTAACAAATGCTACGTTCAGCAAAGGACAAGAGGGATCCTCTCACTTCAGCAGGCGTCTACCGTATACCATGCAGCTGTGGACAAGTCTACATAGGGACCACCAAACGCAGAGCCCAGACACGCATCAAAGAACATGAAAGGCACTGCAGACTACTTCAGCCAAAGAAGTCAGCTATAGCACAGCACCTGATGAACCAACCTGGACACAGCATATTATTTGAGAACACAGAAATGCTGGACCACTCCAACAACCACCATGTCAGACTACACAGAGAAGCCATTGAAATCCATAAGCATGTGGACAATTTCAGCAGAAAGGAGGAAACCATGAAAATGAACAAAATCTGGCTACCAGTATTAAAAAACTCTAAAATTACAACAGCAAAACAACAGAGAGGAAACAATCAGGGGCATCTAATCACCTCTCAACAAAAGATTGCCCCAGGCACTGCCAGGCCATCAAATGCTAATCAAGGTGTTCAGTTGAAACATTCACACCTAGCTCCAGCAGACAAGAGTCCTTTGTCCCACCCTGGTCATTCCACACACACACACACATATATATCCCTTTTTCCTAGTTCCAACAGACCTTACTACCTCTGAGGATGCTTGCCATAGATGCAGGCGAAACGTCAGGAGAGAATGTCTCTAGAACATGGCCATATAGCCCGAAAAAACCTACAACAACCCAGTGATTCGATCCATCAAAGCCTTCGACAATACAATGCAAAATAGACTTTACTAATTTTAGAGAATCATAGAAAACATACTGTGAAAGTTTCTTCCTTCCTTGTAACATGGATCAGCGCAACTCCTGTCTGGTCCAGCATCCTGTTTCCAATTTTGTCCAAACTGGTGCTTTTGAGAAACCCACAAGTACAGTATTGAAAAACCAGATAGTTAGCTGTCACAAGTATATTTTGATAGATCTGTCTCCCCTATTAGACCATCTTTTTTGCAGAGAAGGAGCCAAAGGGAGACACTTTGTCTAAATAATAATAATAATAATAATCATCATCATCATCATCATCATCAGGTAAATGTGTAATAGAAGACATGACAAAATTACCACTGCTGTTGTTGTTGGGAGCTGGCATTTAGTTTTGAATATAAGAAGAACATCACTGCTTAACTAGCTGGAGACAAAAGATAAGGGGATAAGTTCCTGTTCTACTAATACACAAACACTCCGGGCTTATTGTGAGGCGCTTGCTTTTAGCATACATATAGTTAATGCATTTGAGCATTTTGCATGGGAATCCCAGAGCCTTTTATGGTCAACTTACTTTGTGCTGCAGTGAACTGAAGGCACCCATCCAAAAGGGGAAAAATTCCAATTGTTTTTAACTGTGTAATACCCTTTCCTTGGCCTCCTGCAGTAGCTCAGTAGCTAGCATACTAATATTTAAAATGCAGCTCTATACATAGCTAGGAGGGGAAATTCCTCGGTAGCAGTTGACACTGAACATATTCAAAGAGCACAACACAACTTTAAGAGGTTATAAAATGGTATGACTATTAAGAATATATATTTTAAAAGTTGTTTTTACATTACTTTGTCAGTAATACTAAACTTGTTGGTCCTGTGCCTAAGGAGCCACTGATAGATAAAATAGTGTTTTTATGTACCTAGAGAATTGTATTTAACTTTGTAAAAATACTTCTTTACAATATCATTTAATTTTTTATACATTGCTTTAAGTGTCTTCTTAGTAGGTATAAATGAAACTTGCTAGTTATTTTCTAAATTGAAGAAAAAACCTTGCATAAGACCCTAACACAAACATTGAAAGTTGGGTGTTCTTTTTAAAGGAAAATTAGGATGGTCCTGGAGGTCAGGGAAGGGATTGGCCAGTTAAGAGATTTGAGTTAATTATAGTATCCTGGAAAGAAAGATGTTAAGGATATGTATAAACATGTGCATAGCTTAAAAAAACCAAAAATCTCACAATCCTTGTGCTATACAAGGGTAAGAAGGAAGAAAATACAGTAAGACCTCAATACCTGCAGATCACATATCCATGCCATCATTTATCTGCTGTTCACACAACAGCCTTGAACTTTGGAGTAGCAGGGGAAGCTTGAAGAATTGCTACTTCCAGCTCCTTGAGGAGCAGGACTGTTGTGTTCACATTCACTCAACAGCCTTGGGGTGGAGTGGGGTGGGGAAAGTGGGAAGAATCGTCACTACCATTGACTCCCTTCTTACACAACATCCTTTTCTGGAAAGGTGGTGATGGTGGTGGGAAGAAAACACAGAATTGCTTTTGCCAACTACCTTTCGAAAGCTGAGGCTGTCTTGTGCATACTCGCACACAACAGCCTCAGTCTTTGTGGATGGGGCAGCAAAAGAAAGCCTCCACCACTGCTAACTCCCTCCCAAGTCAGAAGTTAAGACCATAGTTACAAGTGACATGTTTTTTTGCTCAGGTCAGAGTGTTACATCTGATTAGAATCAGAAGGCCACAGTTCTGCACATAGAATGTTTTGTTTTAGTAAAAGTAAGCGTTTAGGCTTGAAAAAGGACAAAACAGTGTGATCTCTCTGGGGCTGTGGGCCTTGAGTGAAGGAACTAGACTTGATAGCCTTATGTTTTCTAGCTGTTGTGGTAGTGTTGGAGGAATTCCAAAGCTTTCCTGCATGATTTTTTCCCCTGTGGATAAATAGATAAAACCAGCATTATATAATGCAAATCTAAATAATGAAACCCATCTGCTAGACACATGAATAGTAGAAAAAGTCTGATTGAAGAAGTGACATGAGGTTGGTTGGGTGTAGTTGATTTTCAGAGAATGCACCGTATTGATTTTCAGAAATGGCACAGTGATATTTTAAAGCTAGGACACTGTAAACTTCTAAATAATGTGGTGATGACGCAAGTGAACCTATTCTTCAAGCATACGTGATTGAATGAATTTAAACTTTGAATTTTACCTTTAAGGAAAGTAAAACAGAGCACAGATATGTGCAGTACCAGAGATATTAAATGTCTTTGTCATTTCTGGAAGCATATTCAGATTAACCTAGAGCCCTCTTCCTTCTGATATTCTCTACTTTGTATGTTCAGTTCCTCACAGATTATCTATATAAATAAAAATGTAATGTTCGTTTGTGGGATTAACAGAACTCAAAAACCACTGGACGAATTGACACCAAATTTGGACACAAGACACCTAACAACCCAATGTATGTTCTTCACTCAAAAAAATGATTTTGTCATTTGGGAGTTGTAGTTGCTGGGATTTATAGTTCACCTACAATCAAAGAGCATTCTGAACCCTACCAATGATTGAATTGAACCAAACTTGGCACACAGTTCTCCCATGACCAACAGAAAATACTGGAAGGGTTTGGTGGGCATTGCCTTGAGTTTTGGAGTTGTAGTTCACCTACATCCAGAGAGCACTGGACTCAAACAATGATGGATCTGGATCAAACTTGGCACGAATACTCAATATTCCCAAATGTGAACACTGGTGGAGTTTGGGGAAAATAGAATCTTGACATTTGGGAGTTGTAGTTGCTGGGATTTATAGTTCACCTACAATCACAGAGCATTCTGAACCCCACCAACGATAGAATTGGGCCAAACCTCCCACACAGAACCCCCATGTGGGCCACAGCAATGCGTGGCAGGGGACGGCTAGTCTAACAATAAAAAGTACTTAGCGTTATGTATGACAGATTCACCATGAAATAATAATTATAGGAGATTCTAAAACAACAGCTGTATATGTCTGAATATGTTATTCTTATTACTTTGAGTATATAATACAAAGCAGTGATATTCTGTATTCTACTCTATCCTTCAAAGGCTGGTTGTGAGCTGGTTCAGAAGTTCATCAAATGACTGTGTAGAAAAATATTATGAAGGGAGGGCCAAGTTACAAAATAGACCTGAAAATGGCAATTCTTATTTAGATGTCGCACAAATAAAAGGGAATTAAATATGACTTAATTCATTATAAATAAATGGGAACAAGGACTTTTTATTTGGTAACAGAATAGTTCTTTTTGGTATATTATCATACAGTGACAATTGGCAATTTACCTGTAAAACTTTAACCTTTTTTTCTTCTGTTTGTAGGCTTGCATAGATGATAACATAGATATGGTGAAATTTCTGGTGGAAAATGGAGCCAGTATTAATCAACCTGATAATGAAGGCTGGATACCTCTACATGCGGCTTCTTCCTGTGGATATCTTGATATAGCAGAGTAAGGATTTCCTCCCTATATTTATGGTAACATTTATTAATGTTTGGCAGAAAATTTATGCTTTTATTTCTAATAGGGTGTTATTTAACTCCGAGTGCATCTCAGTTAATTTATTCCATTTTATGAGTGAAGTAAATGTGGGGTTTGTGGAAAGAGTAGTGGGAATGCAGCTTTCTTCTTTCCAGATATCAAGAAAAATGTTGATTGATGCAGTTCTTATTTATAGCATGTAAGAGAGTCATCTATCTGGTGAACATGCACTATCAGAATGGGTTATTGACCTTAATCTGAGGTCTGTACTTTATATTTCTTTGTCAGATAGCAAATACCGCTGTACTAGTCTTTTTGTAGATAAAATCAAATAGCAACTAGAAACATGTAACAAGTGCTCAGTGGGTCAGGTTTTTATTCTTATTCAGAGATAGAAATTTCAGGTGAAGTTTACAAATAAGATGGCTGCGTTTTCATGTGAGTTCTGTAAAATCTTTTAAGTTTCCTGTATTTTTAATTTTTTCTTGCTGCATTAGATGCCCTAGTTCAAAATAACTTCATTGACACCTTTTGCATTCCACACAGTAACTTAGGATATTGTTCATCCTTAAAAGGAAGTGATATTAGCTGTATTATTTTGACTCTGTAGTATGTGTCACAGCATTATTAGCGCCACCACTTCAACTAGGATTCCATTTTAGCAGCTGGAAATTTCAGTAATTTTTCCTGAACCCACTATTTCATAAGAACATGTATAATTTATTCTGAATACTGTTCAAATCTCTTAATCTCCCTGTCACAAAGATCAGTACTACAGTATTTTGACTACAGTCCTGTAGGACTGAAGCTTCATTAATTATCAAAGCCATAAGCAATTAAGACATAGTGACAATTACAGAAGAAAAAAATGTATGTTTCTGTATAAGAATTAGGTTTAATAATTCATGCATACTGCTTAGGAAATGTACTAACTCAAAGTTTGGCTTCTTTTTTGGGCAGTCAAGACAGTAGAATATTTCAATAGCATATGTCACATTATATGTATTTTTATTTGTTGCTATAATTGTCTGAAAGTGTGTAATTAAGTCATTTATTTCGGCTGTCCTTTTTTAAACTAGGGGATGATTAAAATTATTGCAGTTTTGAAAGATAATTTTTATGCATTTTATTATAGTTTTCCTTTTACTAAAGAAATTCTTTATAGAGGCATCCCATGTGCCTATAATAGAAGATTTTATTTCACAGTTTCTCCTAAAATGTTTCTTTATAATAATTTTGTGCAGTCAAATTGATATCACTTTTAGGTTTAAATGTACAGGACACTTGCAGTTGTGCAAGTCATAGCATCACTCTGTGTCACTGTCTAAGTGTCTAAAACATTTCATCCAGAGTTCATCTTATAAAAAATATCTTGAGTTGAAATAAATATAATTAAAGCAGCTCAGGAGCTCTACTTGGTTGCTGTTCCTCATACCTTATGTCATGTCACAAAGAGCTTAAATTTGTAAATCTCTTTGTGTATATAAGCTACTGTTTAAGTACTTTAAAATATTGAAGTTTTATTGCATGATATACAAAATGCCGACCCAGCATGGTAGAAATATTTTTATTACCTTACTTAGGCTATGATTATTTAGGTTTTTGGGAAAATATCATTTTTGAAAGACCAGAGGATTTATATGTTTCCTTAGGGCATCAATTTTTCTTGCAGTTGTGTAATGCGAAGATTATGAAGTTGTAGCATAGCCCAACTGAATTCCAAAAGTCAGTATTAAAACCAGAAGTACAAATGATGACAACATACTGTTTTTTACAATCTACTACATTCAGTTCTGTCTTTCCTCTTAAATGACATGCATAGGATTTTGTTTCTTGCTGACAAGAATTAACTTCATTGACAGCAAGATTGCTGTGTACATTCCTGTACATTTATGAAGTAACTCCTGTCTTTGTCCTCCCACATCCTTCCCCAACTTTTATCTTATTTTAGCATGACTAAGTACTCTGTTTAGAGCCGTGTCAAGCTCTGATGTCAGTGGCTCACAGTGAGTGTATAGCGCAAGCAAATGGCATACAGTGCGGGCTGTAACTGAGTAGGTTTTAAATGCCGCCCTATGTGCTCCCTATATGTATATATTTACTTTCTCTTGTATCAGTAAATTATTTACATTTATTCATGTGGGAAAGTGAAAAAGTGTTGCCCTTCAAGACACAATTGCAGTAGATGAAAAGCATGGGCACATTGGCACTGGAGGTCTGTCCATTATCAGCAGTAACCCTGTAAGGAACCACTTCCTGCCTTCTTCTCTTGAAGACATTTTTAGATTTAAAAATTGGAGAAGTCATATTTTTGGTTTGCCTTTCTTTAGAATTAGATGGGAAAATGGAGAATAAGAATTCTGTAGTTTTACGTCCTCTTTCTAGATTCAGCATTTGGACTGTTAAGATTAGAAATTCTCATCAATCTTTGGTGATCTAACTCTGTGGTTAGTTAGTTCCAAGGCAACATTTGTGAACTGGGTCCGTTCTATTCAGGAGCTGGTGTTCGTAATGTATGGGAGTAGCCAATGCAACTTCATAATTCAATTAGGCAATAAAAATGGAAGAAAATACATTTTCTCATTAATCTAATTATTATGAAGCACTAGATGATTCTTTTGGGATGGTTTATGAACCAGATTCAGATGCACCTTTACTCATTTATAGTAGCAAAATATGCAAGTTATTTACCAGTATATAGCACAATGTAGGTTTGGCAAAGTAAAAAACAAGATACATAGGGTTCAGTTGTAGAGGTAAAATGTGTAACAGCAGGATGCTTCATATAAGCATCTGAAACTAGTCCTGAATTTATTGGTTGATCTGGTCTTTTTGTTCTGAATTTGAATCGGATGGAGAAAATGAAAATTGTTGCAAGATAAAATTTTGAATCTAGTATACCAGCGTTAATATTTTCTCAGATACACTTTAGTATGAAACAGACAAGATTGATATTATCACCGTTTTGGAGGTTGGATATTCTGATCTTTCAGGGGTGAAGGAAGGTACTGCCCAAGAGGCCCTGTACCCTTTTAGTGTGCTGGTAAAGGCATCACATTACTTCTGGCTGATCTTTTGTTAAAATTTCCCTAATTTTGGGGTGGAGATAAACCACTGTGTTTTGGGCCCGTTTTTGGAGGATTGGGTGGTTTAAGGAAAATGTGTGTGAGGTTGAGGAAAGTTCTGAGTAAGTCCATTGTTCTGTTATGGGATGTGAGCAGTGGTATACTGCTAGGAGGATATTTATTACTCTATATTTTTACTTTTACTCATTTCTTTCAATACCCTGCACAGCTAGTAATCACAGCCAGCTGACTAAGTAGGCACCAGAGATGGCAGAGGGAAGATTTCACCTCTCCTCTGGCATTCTGCTTTGTTCTAGTGTCCATGCGCTGAGGCAAAATCTTATGCTGCATTTCCAACATTTTGTCTTTGAATAACATATTGCATTATAAGTATTTATTTATTTATTTATTTATTTATTTGCAGCTTTTATATTCTGCCCTTCTCGCCCCACAGGGGTCTCAGGGCGGATTACAGTGTACACATATATGGCAAACATTCAGTGCCAATTTTTGACATACAAACATATATAGACGTACACAGAGGCTATTTAACTTTTTCTGGCCGCCGGGGAGCTGTCGCTTTCATTGGCCATCTGCGACGCTGATGAAGCACTTCCGCATTCCCTCATGCTTCCCCGCTGGAATGCTTTGCTGGAGTCTTCTTTATGGCCTCATAAATCAGTTAATTTAGCTTCCCCACACTTTAAGGTGGTACCTTATTTTCCTACTTGACAGATGCAACTGCCTTTCAGGTTGCAAAGGTCGACAACAGGCTACACACAATTGGTTGGAAACCCACTCCAACCCGGGCTGGCTTCAAACTCATGACCTTTTGGTCAGAGTGATCTTAATGCAGCTGACACTTAGCCAGCTGCGCCACAATCCCGGTGCTAAGATTAAGTATTACAAATCAAAAAAATGTTGAGATGATTTGATGTCCATTCTTTGAGAGGACAAGGCATCCAGGTATGCAAAAGATTGGAAAACGACTTTCAGTGTGATGCTATTAACATAATAGTCATTAACATAATAGGAAACATTAAAAATGAACACAAACCTCTTTTTGCCAGACTGTGATCAATGCTCTGTTGATAACACAATCCATTTTGATTTTCATATATTGTTCATATATCTATCTATCTATCTATATCTCCTTGAAGGAGCTGGGAGTGGTGATGGCCGACAGGGAGCTCTGGCGTGGGCTGGTCCATGAGGTCACGAAGAGTCGGAAACGAATGAACAACAACAATATATATATATATATATCTCCCATTATTAGGGTTGAATTAGTTATTTTGATGGCACAAGAAATGTAGAGCATCTTGAGCTGTAAAGACCAGACTTTGGGGAATCTATAATACACAAGGTTATGTCAGAATTCTGTACAGATTTCTTTAGAAGTTTATCTTCCTTCTCTTGAGCAGATATCCTCACCCTATAAGGAGGAGTTCAACTTTTCTGGTGCTGACATACAAATGTCCACTGCCACCAATTGACTCCTATTTTCTAGGTGTGACTACAACCATTGGAACCACTTCCCCCACAAAATTGACAACCATGTTTGGACTGAACCTAACTTGGTAAGTGTGCCACACTAAGAGTAGAAAGGACCAAATAAGGTACAAACCTTAGCTTTTAAGTTCAGGTTAAAAACTTGTCACACTGCAGTCTGGAGAAACAAGACTTTATCAGATAGTCACATCCATAATTTGTTGGGTGCTCTACAAACCAGGTAGACCTGTGCTTTCTGAGCTGTGTGCCTGAGGTACTTTGAGTGTAATAATTTCCTGTAAGAGAAAAATGGGTTGGTCCATGCTCACTATTAAGGCAGCAAAACAAGGCTACCTATAGCTGTGAGGTTTTGGCATTAATCCTGGGTGACTCTTAGGTATGCATACAAATAAA